ACGCTCCCCCCCGGATCACAGAGTGCCGCCCTCCGTGGCCCGGGCCGGTGCCTCATAGGACCTCATGACAAGCTCGACTTCATACCCAAATATCCGGCATTCGGGCCCCAGCATGCCCCGCCTTCACAGCGCTCGTCCCCTTGTCCGGCCAAGCTTGACCACCGAAACATCCATCCGAGCAAGCTGACTTGGCAATCGCCTTGCGTTGATTGCCGTGTCTGACACGTGCGTATCGGCTGGTTCCAGAGCGCCACCGAACACCGTGGTGGACTTTCGAGCTCCTTTCCCAATCGACCCACTGTCGTAATAAGCCGGGTTTCATGGGCCAGAGGGGCATCCTCTATAGGTCCAATTCCCCATCTCGGCTCTGACCACTGCCGCTGACCGGTTTGTGCCCGCCGCCTACTATACAGGAAGTAGGATGCACCGAACCGATCGCCTACCGCACTGGTAGGTTTGCTTAAGAAGTGGCCCCTCACGCGTCAGCAAACAGCATTGCTCCTCAAGATGCTCCGAGGTTGGGCAAGCCCGTCCAAGAAGAGTCATCACACTGATCGTCGGGACAAGCCAACCCGATCCCATCACAGTCTCATTTCTTGACAATTCCAAGAGAGCTCCGTGCTAGTGCCTAGGTGGTTTTTATGCCACCTAGGACGCAAGCACATCCTTCTCAAGGCCGTACAGCAAGTGGGACATACCTCCCTTCGTTACTTCGGCTGGTTGCCTTGCACCGATTCAACCACCTCCGCATAAAGCTGGATAGCCGGGATTCGGGCCCCAGTGGCCGTTTGGCTCAGTTCGGTATGCCCCTCTTACGTATCGGGCTCAGATATGGTACTCGACAACGCTTGCTTTACTCCGTTCCACCAGTGTCCCAGTATCCGCCAGCTAGGCCCAGGGTACCCGACTTGGGCTCCATCTTGTCTTTTAGGGGCATGACCAAGGGCAACATCAACCCTTTTTCCATACTCTTAGCGCCTTCCCCTTTTTTGTGTGGTGCTCGTTTATTAGATTATGGGTACGGGACTTTAACATGCCACACACTGGCTTCCAGTTTGAGCAAGCGATGCCTTTCACGTATCCGAGTGGCTAAGGAGACGGGCTTCCTCAACCTCCACAACGAGATGTGAGTGGGCTGTGTTTCTCTACCGAGCGCTACAGACCGAGGCCTCACGCTCAAACCAGAGAAACAACCAGCACAGAACCCGGCGTTGCCACCGAGCCATCCCATTGCAGCCACGATAAGATACGAGTTGGGTTACATCTACCGAGTGCGACAAACCGAAGTCTGACACTCAAACCAGAGGCACTACCAACCCAGACTCGACATTGCGGTCGAGCCATCTCATCGTGAGTGGAAAGACACGATGCTAGAGACATCCACCGTAACTGAAATAGTCCGGCGATTTCTCCCATGCACCACGAAAGCATTAACTCCCACGTGGCATCACCATGCTTCCGATTGTCATTCCACGTTAAGAAAACTCTAGGACACACCGTCCTTGACCTACTAACATGTTCAGGTACCCGTGCATCGTCCTGCGTCCGACCGAGATCGTCCACAGTCAACATGGGTCTCATTCCAGGTTTTTGGCCTCAAGTGAGCTTCGAGCTTTCCCCCTGAAAAAGAGTCGACCGTCTCAACCACTGCATATGAGTTTTGCAAGTTGCACCGACATCAACTTCTTTATGGCAGTGGTTGAGCACCCAGTTGGTTCAGACCCCTTGCGAGGAGTGATCCGATTGGGTTCTCCTCTTTTTCCCTGGTTCCAATAAGCCTGAATCCTACCCTCCCCAACCCATGGGTCAATGACGCCGCCTCGCAACGAGGGGGGGCCACCTAGCCATAGGCGGATTGGGATACGAAACCGACCGCATATTACCAGTGTCAAGAAGTTTGTAGGGACCGAGCGGACCCAAAGAGTAACCTTCCTCCTTGGGTATTCCACCTTGCTTGTGGTTCGAGGGCCAGTTCCTCCTCTCCCCATTTTACCAGGCGATCCTCCGCACCTGGAGAGCTTACCGCCCCCTCCGCTGGGGTCTGTGCACACCAACCCTCCGAGGAGAGTCCATGCGCACGTCTCACAGGACGCTCCCCCCCGGATCACAGAGTGCCGCCCTCTGTGGCCCGGGCCGATGCCTCATAGGACCTCATGACAAGCTCGACTTCATACCTAGATAATCCGCCTTGCTTGTGGTTCGAGAGCCAGTTCCTCCTCTCCCCATTTTTCCAGGTGATCCTCCGCACCTGGAAAGCTCCCCGCCCCCTCCGCTGGGGTCTGTGCACACCAACCCTCCGAAGAGAGTCCATGCGCACGTCTCACGGGATGCTCCCCCCTGGATCACAGAGTGCCACCCTCCGTGTTCCGGGCCGGTGCCTCATAGGATCTCATGACAAGCTTAGACTTCATACCTAGGTAATCCGCCTTGCTTGTGGTTCGAGAGCCAGTTCCTCCTCTCCCCATTTTCCCAGGTGATCCTCCGCACCTGGAGAGCTCCCCGCCCCCTCCGCTGGGGCCTGTGCGCACCAACCCTCCGAAGAGAGTCCATGCGCACGTCTCACGGGACGCTCCCCCCCGGATCACAGAGTGCCGCCCTCCGTGGCCCGGGCCGGTGCCTCATAGGACCTCATGACAAGCTTAGACTTCATACCTAGGTAATCCGCCTTGCTTGTGGTTTGAGGGCCAGTTCTCCTCTCCCCGAATTATTACTACGGAAAGGCCTCGGATTACCTTGGCTTACCGACTTTTCAAGCAACCGTCCTACCCAAAGATTAGTGAGAAGAGGTGAAAAGCCACTTCCCCCTAACCTTCTTAGGCTAACCACCTGGATTACGTTGGCTTACCGTCGTTTGGCGCAACCGAGTGACCCTTGCAAAGGTTCGGGGAGAGGTGGAGCACCCCTTCCCCCGGATTCTCTTAGGCCAACCACCCGGATTACGCTGGCTTACCGTCGTTTGGAGCAATCGATTCCCAGATGCCAGGGGTTGGGGAGAGGTGGAGCACCCCTCCCGCCCAGTATTCTTAGGCCAATGACCTGGATTACGTTGGCTTACCGTCGTTTGGGGCAATCGATTTCCCCGTGGCAAGGGTTGGGGAGAGGTAGAGCACTCCTCCCCTCCGTTGTTCTTAGGCCAGTGACCCGGATTACGTTGGCTTACCGTCGTTTGGGGCAATCTATGCCCACATGCCAAGGGTTGGGGAAAGATAGAGCACCCCTCCCCTCCGGTATTCTTAGGCCAATGACCCGGATTACGTTGGGTTACCGTCATTTGAGGCAACCGTATGACCCATGCCAGGGGTCGGGGAGAGGTAGAGCACCCCTCCCCTGCAGTATTCTTAGGAAAACCACCTCGATTACGTTGGCTTACCGTCGTTTGGGGCAATCGGTTCCACCATGCCAGGGGTTGGGGAGAGGTAAGGAGCCCCTCCCCTCCGGCATTCTTAGGCCAATGACCTGGATTACGTTGGCTTACCGTCGTTTGGGGCAACCGGATGCCCCGAGCCAAGGGTTGGGGAGAGGTGGAGCACCCCTCCCCTCCTGTATTCTTAGGCCAATGACCCCGATTACGTTGGGTTACCATCGTTTGGGGCAATCGGATGGCCCATGCCAAGGGTTGGGGAGAGGTGGAGCACCCCTCCCCCCCCCCGTATTCTTAGGCCAATGACCTGGATTACGTTGGGTTACCGTCGTTTGGGGCAATCGGATGGCCCGTGCCAAGGGTTGGGGAGAGGTGGAGCACCCCTCCCCCCCCCCGTATTCTTAGGCCAATGACCTGGATTACGTTGGGTTACCGTCGTTTGGGGCAATCCGATGGCCCGTGCCAAGGGTTGGGGAGAGGTGGAGCACCCCTCCCCCCCCCGTATTCTTAGGCCAATGACCTGGATTACGTTGGGTTACCGTCGTTTGGGGCAATCGGATGGCCCATGCCAAGGGTTGGGGAGAGGTGGAGCACCCCTCCCCCCCCCGTATTCTTAGGCCAATGACCTGGATTACGTTGGGTTACCGTCGTTTGGGGCAATCCGATGGCCCGTGCCAAGGGTTGGGGAGAGGTAGAGCACCCCTTCCCCCCCCGTATTCTTAGGCCAATGACCTGGATTACGTTGGGTTACCGTCGTTTGGGGCAATCCGATGGCCCGTGCCAAGGGTTGGGGAGAGGTAGAGCACCCCTTCCCTCCTGTATTCCTAGGCCAATGACCTGGATTACGTTGGGTTACCGTCGTTTGGGGCAATCAAGTCCCCGGAACCCAAGTGATGGAATCCATCCGGATCGGACCCCGGATGGGTTTGATCGAACCCATTCGGATGGAACCCATCCGGATCTGGATCGATCGAACCCATTCGGATCCGAGTCGATCGAACCCATCCTTATCGAGCCGATCCGGATCCGGATCGATCGAACCCGTGTGGATCAAACCCATCCGGATCTGGATCAATTGAACCCATCCGGATCCGGATCGATCGAACCCATCCGGATCCGAGTCGATCGAACCCATTCGGATAGAACCCATCCCTATCGAGCCCATCCGGATCCGAGTCGATCGAACCCATTCGGATCGAACCCACCCGGGTCCGGATCGATCGAATCCGTCCGGATCCGGATCAAATGAACCCTTTCGGACCCAAGCCCATCCGGATCCGGATCGATCGAACCCATCCGGATCCGAGCCGATCGAACCCATCCGGATCCGAGTCGATCGAACCCATCCGGATCCGGATCGATCGAACCCATCCGGATCCGGTTCGATCGAACCCATTCGGATGGAATCGATCCGGATCCGAGTCGATCGAACCAATCCGGATCCGAGTCGATCGAACCCATTCGGATCGAACCCATCCGGATCCGAGTCGATCGAACCCATTCGGATCGAACCCATCCTTATCGAACCCATCCGGATCCGGATCGAACCCATCCGGATCCGGTTCGATCGAACCGATTCGGATGGAATCGATCCGGATCCGAGTCGGTCGAACCCATTTGGATCGAACCCACCCGGGTG